ACACAACATGTAGCGTTACAGCTATAGCTTAATAATTACATCAAAATTAACTTCAAAATAGCACATACATGTGTACATGCATGTACATTCATGCAGTAAAATAACAATACAAGAATTTCTTTCAAATTGTGAAGAATAGGGCTACCGTATAGCGGAAAATTTTCGTGGCCCAAAATTTTCATGGATTTCACGTTTTTTTTTAATCCACGAAAATAAAATCCGCGAAAATCGATTCTATATGGTTTAAGATGGCCGAAATGTACATGTAGAAAACCACAAAAATTAAAGCCACGAAATTGATTTTTGGACAGATCCTTGAAAATTTTGGGCCACAAAAATTTTCCACTATACAGTATACATCGTTACAGTTCTCATTGTTTAGAATCAATATTTTGAAATGCTCACAAAACATACAGTATTTGTAGTTTTGAAATGGTACTATTCATTAAATTTACAATGCTTAATAACAAATTCTTTGTTAGCAATATCAAGAAATAAAATTTAGCACCCGGCCATTGGTATTAAAATTTTGGTGCATCCACATTGCAGAAATGAAGACAACCATAAACAAAAAATTGTTGTTGGAGCCAGCCTACATACATGTACATGTACATGTAGCATATGCCATAGGGGTATCAATGTACATTGTTACATGTGTAATTACCAGAAAGTTGAAGTAATGACATGTACAAAAGAGCAAAGCATCCAAACAAAATAGTCAAATTTATACATAAATGCATGTAGACAATGTACAGTGTACATGTACATGTATGGTACATTGCATGTGCATAATACAATAATTACTTACTTCTTCAGCATACATGTTTCTAGAAGTACATGAAAGTGCGAGTAGATCCTACGCAATATTTTCAATTGAATGAGTGAGCTTCTTGTATTATAACCTTTTTGATATTAGCAGAGAAGAAAGAGAGAGAGGGAGAAATGTAAAGATATCCTCCAGACACAGTTACTTGCTGTTTGCTAATTCTACCGTATAACAGGAAATTTAGGAGGGAATTAAATTTGGTGAATTTGGCGTTTTGATAGCCATTCGCCAAAATAAAAATCCACCATTTTGAGCCATTATGTGCATGCTCAATGGCACATGGCCACTAATTCACCAAATTATAAATTGCCAATCACCAAACTTTAGCAATTTGCCAAAATTTAAATCCCTCCAAAATTTCCTGCTATAAGGTATTCCTTCAAAAAATTTTCCCTACAATAATTAATAATAATTGTTATTTTTATTATTCTAACTTAAGGTTTCCCACATAGCATATTATGGAGCAAAAAAGCATGCATGGCTTTTGGAAACTTAAAAAATCATAAAAAGATCAATTTGGATCAAAATCAACTCAAACGTACTACACAACTTAAAATATCTACGCATGCATCAAAATTTTTTTAAATCAAAAATTCTCTCCAAGTCATTTTTGGCTAAATTTAACCTATACTATAGTATGGGGACTTTGGCGCTAATTTTAGAGCAACTTAAAAATTTTAAAAAATCTATTTTTGCTCCAAATAAGCTCAAACTTGCTACACAGCAAAAGAACATGTACATGTAAAATTATGTATAAAAAATTCAAAAAATTTCTATTTTCACAACTTAAGATTATTCTGCTCTTAATATTATTATTTCAGTTTTTCTGTATGTTTAATAATTAATAATTCTTAGAAAATTCCCTCTTAATTAATTTTTTAAGTAACTTTAAAATTTTGTAAAAATTCCAATTTCGATCAGCATCAGTTCACATTTGCTACACAACATAAGAGTATTATGTGTACATGTACATTATCAAGAATACAAAATAACTATAAAAAATTTTTTGATAATATGCATCAAAAATTATAAATGTGGAGATATGTCTCTCCTTGTCTTTTTTGGCAAAATTTGGTCAAGTTACTGTACTAAACAAGAGTACAGGGCTGACAGTGAGTTCGGCCTGATTTTTGTAACTTTAAAAATTCTTAAAATTTTCCAATTTTTATCAGAATTGGCTCAAAATTTGAATACAGCACAAAAACATAAGAAATATTATAAAAAATTAATACAAAATTGACTCCTAGCAATTTTTGAAAATAACCCTGAATAGTAAACCCTGAATAGTATATTATTTTGTTAAATTTTTGAGCAACTTTAAAACTCACTGACTAGAACCAGCACCAAAATTTAGTAAAAAACATTAACCTAGCTCACTTACTAAGTACAATGTACATGTGTACATGTACAAATGTAAACATGCATCTATTGCTGTCAGAAAAGTGATCTCAACTTACAATTTTTTCTAAAGAGGAAGAAACACAGTAAACCATGTCAGCTGCAGAGAAGTGATGCTTGTAGCTAATATAAGACACAAATGAACTGAATGTGATATATCCATCCTAAATAAATAATAATATAAATAATAAATAATTATAACACATTAAAGAGTGCTGTATGGCCAACAACGGCATTCTTTATTGTGCTATAGCTATTATGTACATGTAGTAATGCCATGTGCAATGAATCACAAGATTAAACACTATTTTTATAACAAAGCCCAGAATCTCCACATTAAAGAATTATAGTTTACCCAAATGGCAGATGAAATAATTACATGCAATCCAATCTTTAACATTCTTGTGCATAGAAAGATCCATTGCTGAGTAAGGCTGCTTTGACTGAGAAAGAGAGAGAACAGTAAGCCTATAGAAAGAGATACAGGTACGGCGGTGTATAGACCATCACTACGTTGTACATGTACATTGTACAATAATTATTATTACATTATTATAATTTACAATGTGCATAATCAATTTGAGTAATGGAGCCATGAACAAAATTGATAGTGACATGTAAATATATGTACATGTAGTAGATCAAGAAGTGTCTTTGGACCAGTTTTTTAGCTACTTTCAATCTTCGTAAAAATTCAAATTTGATTGAAATCAGCTCAAACTTTCTACATCACTTAAGTACATGTATATATATATTCAGAAAAATGGGGAATTTTCTACCTTTCATGTTTGGCAAAATTTGGCCAAGGGTCTTTTACCCAATTTTGGAGCAACTTTAAAATTTGTAAAAAATTCTAAAATTGATCAGAATCAGTTCAAAATCTTTATATAGTGAAAAACATGTAGATCTATGTATTAGAAATAATTGAATAATCTCTCTAACAATTAAAAAATACACAATATAAACTAACGCTAATCAATATACCATAATTATTAATCCACATAATTATAGATCTATCAGTGAATTATTAATCAAGACCTGGTCAATTAACTTCAATAAAGAATTGGTTTCTTTTAAATTCTTTCATCCAGCTCTGTATTATTGATCCCACCACCATCGAGTCAATTATGTTCAGAGTGATCCACGAGACTAGTCACGTTCTGAGTATTATTTAATTAATATGACTATGACCCTGCCTCTTTTTAGTTTTTAACCCCAACTGACAACTGACATATCGATTGTAGAAAGTCGAAACATGTTGAATTTTCGGAGAATTTTCAAGTGCTGAGGACCTGAGGTCCCGGTCTTAGAACAGGATTCACTACTAGAATAAGGGTCCACTTATTAGAATTGAAATATGGCCACTATTCGATCTTGTTTAGGTAGATATTAATGGGCAGCCATCATTTTATGTCAGTCACTTCAGTGTCCTGTTTTGTAGGTCTTGATGATCTAGTTGATGTTCTTGATTTATTAAAGAGATGTGGCTTTGCAGAAACAAGATGGTATGATCTTGGACTGAGACTAGGACTACTAAAGAGGACACTGGACGTCATAGAAAAGAATCATCCTCATGATGTATCTAGGTGTATGACAGAGTGCCTCTCCCAATGGTTAGGTAGAGCTGATAATGTTGACAGTAGAGGAGGAGCCAACTTGGGCTCACTGTCAGATGCTCTACGATCTATGAATGAAACCGCTGTAGCTGAGAAGTTAAGTGAGTGAATCGTAGCTCTATGTAATTGTAGTAATGTTTGTATTTTTGATCATAGAACATGATGTTCTTATTAATATTTTTAATAATCGTCATACTGTCCTGTCTCAGTCTCTTTGTGATTCTGTCAGTATTGCTTGGTTACTTTATGCTGAACGTATGTTAACACAAGAAGCAGTTAGTAGAGTGGTATCAGCTAGTCCCTCTATTCCTAATCAACGTGAGGCTCTATTAACTGCTGTCAAAGAAGCTGTTCAAACTGATCCCAACAGTTTACATACATTTGCTAATGTATTGTGTACAATGAGCACTAATGTATCACTAGGACAAGCTATACTGGATGATATTAGTAAGTATATCATAATAATCACAATTCTTATAGTGTTTTCCACCTTAAGAAATTATCTTACTGTGTATCCTATACTAATGATGGCTGTTTATTTTATAGGGAAGTATTTTTGTACTCCTGAAGCAGATGCAGTACCAGTGATGGTTAAAGATCATAATGTTGTTGCTGACGGTAATAATTATAATTAATTGATAATGATTATGTTAATTAATATTAATAGATAGCACAAGTACTGCTGATGAAACCAATACAATACAGTCTGAATCTAGTATGTATTTACATGTAGATCATTTATATAGTATCATTTTGTACAATATTAAACCTACCTTTATCCTTTATTTGTATAGGTAGTACTATTACTGATAGTTTGTCATCACAACCTTCATCTCAAGGTATAGTTTTGATTTTTTAGCTGCACTATTAGTGGAAAATACTTTGGTGTAGTTGAAGTTCCCGTTCCTAAGCATTTAATTGAAGAGTTCAGTTCAGTAAGAATCTCTTACACAAGGATGTTGTACAATGTTTGCAAAATTTAAAAAAGAAATTTAGACTTTGATGACATCAAGGAATTCTTGTCTTGCTACAGCAGTCTGAGTAAAAAAGTAGATCAGTGTTGTGATATCTCAAGTATCCTTTGTCATGTTAAAGATGAGTGTTCACTGACTAATGTTACACTCCTCCATAGTATAGTGGAGGAAATGAAGATTGATGAGGCAGAGGAACACATTAAAACATATAAGACAGAGTTAAAGGAATTCTACAGATCAATCAGAGTTAGTCTTTGTCTGGAAAAAAGATTCGACTCTGTTTTTCATCTTCAAAGTGAAACAGTTACTTTTATTTTTGACTGGGAGCCTGAGGAACATATGCTGGAGGATATTAAGGATATACTTTCAAAGGTATCTGGTAAACTACTGATCATTAAGTATATAGAAACCTCCACTTCAATATCTGTCACTTGCTCCTTTCCTTTCTCTGATGTTGGGTTTACTGTATTGAGGATGATAGAGAATATTCATATACTAATGGGACAAGGATTAAAGAAACTGACAATTGGTAACTTAACATTATGGAGGAGACAAGATGTTAGATTAAAGGTACATGTATAATTGTATACATGTACATAAAAAGTTGATGTTGTTTTATGAACATTGTTATGTCTGTTGTGTATATATAGGAACTGAAAGAAAAGAATAATGATTTGCTACAAGATACTGAGGTCAGTTAAAATTACATTAACAAGTACTTGGCTGATTTTACTTGTGAATATCACAATGTAGTTGGATAGATGTACATGTACTTTAAAGCTTGTAATTTTTTGAGGTGAAATATAGGCAAATTTGGCTTTTTGATAACCATGCATTCACCAAATTAAAACCTTGCAATTTTACCCCACTAATAGTACGAGACATGTACATGTGTATAATATAAAAATACATACCATATATCCTCAAATAAACGTAGGGTTAGCAATAAAATTATGGAACTATAAATACACAAATCTAGCCTTACAGTATCATAGATGCCTTGTACATGTAGATACCTCCTTAAGCTCCCTGAAGTCACTTGCGTGAGGTCCCAGGTTTAAGTCCCGCTGTTGGTTCAAGGTTTATTTTAATTTTGTTAAGGTCCAAATGTCATTTTAAAATATACATGTAGATGCCTGGGCATTTATTTAAGGAAATACGGTACATGTAAATGATGTAATTTTCGTTATACAGGGTATTTCTTATGTTATACTTGAAGAAGCTGAATATAAGCTAAGAGATGTTATCAGTAGCAAAGAGAAGGTACATGTACATGTACATACATGCTGTATGCATGTTACACTACCAAACTGTTTAAAGAATGAAAATGAAAATCCATGCTTTGAATACATGTGCATGACATGTACATGTTCATTTTATAATGCATATACAATAATGCATGTACGTGTACCTCAAAACTTTTCAATGATTTTGATATTTGGGAATTTTGTGTTTGGTCATGGATTGTGAAGGTTTAACCTTGAATGGTACGTGTACATTTAGGAACATAGCTGAGTAAGATCATTAATTAATTAATGTATTTTAGTCTTGCTAACGTACATTTTATTATAGGAAATATTTGAACTGAAACAAGAAATATCAATGATACCAATGACAGCAGTAAATGAGGTTAGCTAGCATGTACAATACATCATATTGCACATCAATCATTATGATAATAAAGCTTGAATCATACTACATGTAATATTATATACATGTAGTTAATGGATTATTCATTGTCTGAGAAAAACATAAATCAATATTAGGATGATAATGAATTACCATTAGAACAAAGACACAGAAAGTAAAAGGAGCAAGAGAGAGAAGAAAAATTTACTAAAAAGTGATTAAAGAAAAATTGCCTCAGAGTGTTTTTAGCCTGACCCAATAACATAGCAGCAGGCCCTTAGATTACTAGTTTGTATTAATTATAATACTTATTAATTGGAAGAGCCACTGCATGAAGAGTTGATTATGTTGAGCTGTCAGTTTAAAGAGATACAAAAAGAAAACAAAGAGTTGACTGACAAATTATCAAGAATGAAGGTTGATTATTTGAGATCACTTTCTAGTGATACTGATTCAGGTTAGAATGTATGTACGTACTTGTAGTTTGTCTAATTGTTTTAACATATAATTAAAGCTGCTGGAAAAGTGAGAAGAGGAATGGCTTTTGAAATTGATGACTGTAAATTTCATCTCCAAGCAATGAAAAGTCCAGACTATCAGCCATTAGTAGATGATAAAGGAATAATAGAGAAATTACAAGAAAAATAACAATAACATATTTGGAAATGAATACTAAAAGAGAGCACAAAGAGAAGATTATGAAAGAGATTACAGGTATTATTGAATATTGTGTGTGTCATTGTTGGATTGATTTTATTAATAATCATTAGCAATTTAGCATACATGTACATAGCATGTAAAATACATGTACATGACTACATGTACATGTAGCTAAAGTTCATTTACATTCACCTAGCTGTGATTACAGGTCCCACCCAATAATTAACACAATGCAATAGTATTGTGAAATGTATGGCTGTACTTTCTGCATGGGTTATACAACCAACTTGGAGCAATAAAGTTACTCCTTAAGTATGACAATAGATGCGGCAAAAAGGAGAGGAATGCACTGGTATGTTAATTTTTACAATAGAGCTGGTAAGTTAAAAGTTATAGCAAGATAATGAGGGCTCAGGTCAATGCAAATGGACTTTATTTTTACCTTTTATTCTGTTTTAATTATCTTCCCTTCCTCTCCTATATTTCATGATATACATGTAGATGTACATAGTAGGAAAGCAGTTCAGTCTTATATTACTGATATTCCAAGTGGTGACGTTGAGACCTTGACCGAGTACCAGGCTCAAGCTTTGGAGGCATGTCACTAATACATATGCATACAATGTATATACATGTGTACATACATGTATATATATATTTCCTGATACATATACATGTACATGTTCAACATACATGTATATAGATATTTCCTGATACATATACATGTACATGTTCTTATTGTGTATCAAGTTTCAGCTGATTCCTTTATTATAGGATGTCATTGAGGTTCATTCCAAGTATTGTCCAATGAAATTTGAGCTAAGAGTATATCCCCACGATCATGATGGTGACAACCACATGGTGTATGCCACACCAGTACTGGTCTCTCAAGACAGTTTTGTATCTGACGTGATAGATCTCCTCTGCAACTCATAGTAAGGCAGTAATGGGAGAATCCTATTATCACTGTTAGATCTAAAGGGAGTTTTGGAGACTTTTGGTCTCTCATGTCTTCTTAAGTCTCCCATTTTTAGTTAGATTGGCCTCTTAAATACATGTATAATAGTAATAAATTAATTATTATATAAACATTATTATAGTGTTTCATTTCTCTTTGCTTTTCTTCTTTTGTTCCAGTTCTCTTGAATATGACCCCAGACTCTATGGGCTGTTTCTCCATGATGACCAGCAGTTACCGAGTGGGATGTCCATGTGGGATTACCTTGACGACAGTTTCCCTGGTTACCAGGACACTCTTGTACTGCACATGATTCACAAGCCTATTATAGTGTCCTTGGAAACTGAAGCTGACAGGTACACACAAGACCTTCATTAAAATTATTGTAATACAAATTACAATAATCTTTCTAATATCTGTAGTTATACATGTACATGTACTGAGCATTTTTGTAATTGAAATATATTTTTTTGTTAATTCTTGTCGTAAATGCTGTATTTTAATGGTTATAATTAAATTGTATAAATTGTATTTTTACGCATGTAAAATTACAAGTATGCATTTATGGGCTATAACTAGACAATATTCTATTTTAATGAATAATAATAATAATAATATTTTCTTTTTTAAACCTGTAGTATTGCGACCATTAGTGTTGATTTTAGTCAACCCTCTGTGGTTGTGAAGGAGATTCTGTGCAGGAGGTACGGCTGTCGCTATCACAATCAATATGGTCTCAAATACGAAGGTAACAGTAAGCCCCATCCCCCAAACGCATGTACTAATTGAGTGGGTGTGGTCAAGGATTGTTTATTTTTACGTTTCAAAAGTTGTCAGAAGTGTGTGTGCTACTAATTGATTTACAAAAACATGTACATGTATTTAATAAATTAATAAATAATGATAACAATTAAATTATCAGTTGTAGACTTTAGGTACATATACATGTACGTGTATGTAAAACTTAATTAAGGACACCATTTGGGCCCACACTACCTGTCCTTAGTACAGAGGTGTCCTCATTTTTGAGGTGCTTTTGCATACACTGTACATGTAGGTTTGTACCAATTGGGACATTACAAAATACCATCATAAAGTGTCCTCACTATACTAAAGAGCTTTGGTATAGTACTGTGGTATATAGTATTTAGTATAGTATTAACTGTGTGGTTTTACAGTCTGTAGTGATAGTCCAATGACATCATCATTTAAATACACACACACATCATGTCTGTATTACCTTTACATCTCTTCCCAGGTCTCATGCTGAACCTTCAGAAGTCACTACACAATCAGGGGGTTCTTGAGGAAGAGAGGATCCTTCTAGTGGTAATGGATGACAGTGACATACTACCAGCTTTTCCAATGAAGGACCTACTGACCAGGAAAGACTCCGCTTTTGCATCTATGGAGGTAGTGTAACTTTTATTATAATTTGAATTATTTTTATTTTTGATTTTATTCGGGCGAGCCTGAGCAATCCCTACTAAGGCAAAAGAGAGTTTGTATGGGCAGGTCATCTAACTACCATATAGGGGTTTTATTTTGTTAGCATAAAATTTCCCGAATTTGTTCAGATTTGCCATTTTTTGGTATAAATTTTTACGAATCTTACCTTCTGTAGCCATTTTTCCTAGTGTGCCACACCTCTTTTATGGAATTTAATTTTGTGTATTTAATGAAAACGGGAAGTTCACGAAATTTATTTTTAGTGAAATATAACCTCTATACAGTATTATTAAAGTTAGATGTAAATAGCCTAATTTTCATTGAAAGCATTTGGTCACAGTGAATGAAATGGCGACTACCAGCAAGTCTGAGCTTATTTCATTGCAGCAAACTGTCAGCAAGATAGGACTCAGCAGCTGTTCAAAGACTTTTCTAGCAGCAAGGAAGGTCGAGAAAGCAGATACACAATTTTTTTCCTTGACATAAAGGACTCTATTACTGATGAGTTGAATGACATTGCTAATTTCTGCTGCTTGCAGTGCATACAGTGATTGTTTCTAGCAGCAAAAAAGTTAATAAAGCTGATGTGCAATCTTTTTTAATTGCTGCAAAGACTCTTTAGTGATGAAGTGATAAAGAAAAGTTACATTTTTCAACCGCTGCAAGATACGGACTTCTCATGTACACTGTACATTGCTTTACTTACTCATACATGTAAATCATACAACATTCAATTAACCTATGGCTTGTTTAGGCTCACCCCTTCAATGTTCTACATTACTCCTAGTTTATTTATTTATAATTTATTTATTTTATTTTGTTTACAGTGTGAAGCAGGCAGTACAGAATCCTTTGCTTTAGTTGAGGATGATTGTAATATTTGGGACGAAGGTCCTGACTCGGAGCACAACATCAGGTTTAAGAAGACAAATGAGTTAGTTGTGGTTGGAGCAACTTTTAATAAACTAGTAGAGAGAATAACCTCTGTTACTGATCATGGTAAGGTAAAGAGAGAAAGGGGAAGGGGAGAAAGAGGGAGGGAGAGGGGAGGGGGAGGGGGAGAGAAGGAGGGTTACAGAGTATTGTTTTAAATCAGTATGTCATACTCTCTTTCTCTTCAGATATTGAGTTTGTCAAAGCTTTCCTTCTCACCTATCAGTCCTATGCTACTCCTGATAAACTACTGCGTAAACTTGTTGAGCGTTATAATGTTGTGAGACCTTCAGGAACCAGCTTAGAAGAGTTCTCACAGATGAGACAAACTATACAGGCCCGTGTCATCAACGCCCTTAGACTATGGGTGGAATATGGAGTGGAATTTAAATGTACTGTATTTTTAAGATAATTTTAATTGACACACCTTTATAATTACATGTATTATTATTATAATTTAATGTCCCTCTCTCTCTCTTTTATTTCAGATAATGTAACACTTCAGGATAATATTCTTCATTTCATAAGCTCAGTTCTGGTTCTGGATCATCCCAGATTTTGTAGACCACTGAGGACCAATATTCTCTCCATAAGGGGTCTGATACAGAAAAGAAATGTAAGAAGGTTCAGGGACCCCATGCCACCAGCTAAAGTAAATAAATAAATGTTTTTATAATTACATTGTATCTTATTCAGTTACCAGCTAATCCTGGTTCAGTATTGAGTGTGTTTGATTTTGATCCGGAAGAGATTGCCCGTCAACTTACACTGATTGACTTCAGCCTTTTTGCTAAAATAAAACCAGCAGAACTACTCAACCAGGTATTGTGTTATTATCATCATTATCATTATTTCTTATTATTATTATTATTATTATTATTAATATTATTATTATTATTATTATTATTATTATTTTTTTTTTTAAATACCAAAAAACAAAAATTAAAACACACCCCCAAAAATCCTCAATTATTATTATTGTTGTTGTTACACTAGGCGTGGCAGAAACCCAAATACCGAGCTCGTGCTCAGAACATATTGCAACTAGTTGACCGGATGAACAATCTTACCCTCTGGGTAGCAAGCACCATACTGTTTCAGAAGGACATCAAGCAGAGAGCAAAGAGGATACAGGGATTCATTCAAATATGCAACGTAAGACAATATGCAACGTAAGACAATGTCCTTTAAATATCCTTTAAAAGTTAATAGCAGTCTAGTTTTTAATTTTTAAAATTTTAAATTCTGATTTAAAAATTTAAAAAATTCAAACTGTATCCCCTTTTTCTCTATTTTATAGCATTTGCATTTGATGAATAACTTTTGTACACTAATGGCCCTCCTCAATGGACTCGCCCATCACTCCATCAACAGATTAACAAAGACCTTTGGTAAATTGGACAGGGTTCTTCATAAAAGACTCAATGAGTTACAAGAAATGGCAAGACCTGACGACAATTTTAAATTATTGAGAGAACATTTGAAGAAAGCAAGCAATTCCTGCATACCATACCTGTAAAAATGATAATAATGATGATAATAATAATAATTGATTTTGTATTTTTCTAGTCAACTATACATGTCTGATTTAGCATTTCTTGATAACTGCAGTCCAAACTTTCACAAAGATAATCTCATTAATTTCTCAAAGTTTCGTCTGATTTATCATCAGATAAGAGATCTCATATTAAGACAAGTAATTAATAATAATAATAACATAATAATAATAATTATTATTTATTTATTATTTTTTCTGTCTAACTAAAGGATAAGTCGTATAATTTTGAGGAGGTTCCTGCTCTTCAAGAGTCACTGCTCAAGTTTGCATTTCTTGATGATGATACTCTTTATGAAGTATCGCTCCAGAGAGAACCACGGTACGAGTTTATACACATACACAATACACATGTAAATTTACGATGTATATTGGGCCACAGTTCCTGTACTATACATGTAGTTCAGGGACTTTGGCCAAATTTTGCCAAAAATGAAATTTTAAGAATTGTCTATTTTTATAATTAAATTTTTCTGATACAGTATGTATACTGTATTTTACCATATAAACACCTGGTCCAAATAAATGCCTGTCATTAACATATTCTAGCTATAGATACGCATATTTCTACCAAAAATAATGCCACATTGTTTAGATAGCTTCAAAGTGCTTATTAGTTAGTCTTGCCCAGAGTTGAGGGTTCAATTCCCGCTGAAATTAAGTCACTTTTTATTTTTTCAATGAATTTTTTTACTGCTAAGAAATAAACGCCCAGGTGTTTAATTGGTAAAATACGGTACATGTTCTTATGTTGTGTAGAAAGTTTGAGCTCATTCCAATCGAAATTGAATTTTTACAATAATTTTTAAAATTACTCCAAAGCTTGGCCGAAGTCCCTGTACTATTAGTAACGCGGAAGGGATACTAAGTAGGATTCATCCCACTTCAAAATGGCTGCCATGACATTTGCTGCCTTGCTATACCTGGAAAACGAGCTGCTATGCTTACCAGACATTTTAGAGGACCTCATCTTGACCAGAGGACTCCAATGGTGTCACCAGCGTGGCTCTAAACCTTGTTTAAGAGGAAACTCAAAATTTGGGAAAACGGCAGTTTTGAATTTCAACCACCAAGCCTGGCTTTTTTCATCTTCATCGTCATCATCATCATCAACAAGCCCTGTCAAAATAGTTTACGAGCTGTACAGTATTCGATCTTGACTGGTGCTAGAAGTCTAATTCTTATACTATTCTACTCCAACAGTCTATGAGCAGTGATCCATGTTCCTTAAAATCATTCTCCAAGAAAAGAAAAAGTGATGTTATTAGTTATGACTGCTGTATCAGGCCAACTTACCTCCCAAGGCTCCCGTTGCCATTGACTCAAAGCATTTATCGTGCTCTGGACTCTATCGAGTCTCAACCGATTCGTGGAGAGTACAACACCTGGATCTTCAAATTATACCTTTCCCCCTCACTACAATTCCAGCTTGCCGTAGACAGGGCATCATCAAATGGTATCATGAAGATCCAGAGACAAGTCACCTCTGGTTCTCAAGATCCCATACCTCCCACATCTACACTGAACAGAAGTCATAACTTCAGTTTTTGGCTTCTTCTTTTCTCTCTCAAGATCATAGCATTTCATCTCTCTATTCTATCATTTCTGATCCTGCCTTTCTTGATAGAGAAGGTGTTCCTGTGAATGTTGTCAATTCTATCTCAACCAATGATCCACACTGTACCAATAATGACTTGAGAACTTTGTTGGAATCACTGAATGATTTGTTGTAATATGTATGACATATGTGTACATGTAATTGGTAGGTTGTATATTTTGTGTTAATTAGTATTTACGTAAACATATGCTTTTAATTAATGTATGATCTCATGTTCCTATGGCCTTAAGCCCTCTTTTGTGTAACGTACAATGAGCTGGACAGCTCTGTCCAGCTCATGAGGACTCCCTTGTCTACTCCATAAGGACCATTCTTAGTTACTTGTGTACAATAGTGTCCTTATCTCTTTGTTATGTTTTGTATTTAAGTTCTGTAATCTTAGAGCATTTTCATCTCCTTTTGTTGTAAAAGTATCTTAACTTGATCTCTGCTAACTTTACTACGGGCAGCAACTCTAGCCAACTGCTGTTGTAGTGCTGATTCTCAATATGATTCTCAGATATAATCCTGGAACTCACATTTGGAAACCTTTCTGTCCAAAGGAAGCTTCTCATGATCATTTCATTAGAATCAGAGTCACATGTACGGACTAGAATCATGACCTCTTTTCCTGCAGGCCAGTTGTCCTTCTTTATTAAAGCAGGCATTGATAGTCTACCTACACCAATGACCCTCTGTCGCTGGAAGTATTGTACCACCCTCCTGCAAACTCCGTAAGTCACCTCATTGTAATGTTAGCCATATATTAAACAATTGTCCAACTAGTCTAATCCAGCTTCGATATACATGTACCTGGCGATATGACTCTGTCCTCAGGAAATCATATTCAATATTAAGATCTACATGTAATTCAGATAACTCAATCTCTGTTTATGCTGACTTCAACAGTCTGAGAACATCAGATACTCCTCCTGCTACTGTCCCTTTTAGTAGTAGCTACAACTGTACTACTGCCCACCCAGATATAGTAATTATAGATGATACATTGTATAACAGTACTACAAATATGACTAATGCTAGAGAATGTAAACAGTAGAAACAAAGCTATATTTCTCTGGTTATAGTGACTTCTCTTCACTTAGCTTTGACCCTGAAATGGAGATGGTGGAGAATGGCTCACTAGGTTATTCTCACATTGCTCAATCAATGCTGTTCACAGCATCATGCCTCATATACCAAAAAGAACTATCTCTAAACAATTTATCTTCCCACTTAGCTGTACTGCGATTGCCGGCTCCTATACCATATTTAATTGTCGTAACAATATCGAATGGTCACCACCTACTTAACTCTTTAATTTTTTATTCTCTTGCTTTTTAAACCTACTATCTACATGTACTCTCTTTCCTTCCTTTTTCTCCCTCTCTCTTGCTCTCTTTTGCTTTAAATTTACTGACTTGCCAGAATTTTTTTTTGGTTCTAATTTTAGTATCATCTTTTAGCTCTGTGTCCGAGCCTCTCTGATTTTCATCACTATTTTGTTTTAATTAATTAATTTAATTATTATTTAAACCATTGGGTCGTATTTTTAAAAATTGAAAATTTGGGTGTAGTTGTGCATGCTCAGATCTCAAAACTGGGAAATGCAAGCAACTTTTACCTCGCTAAGGCCAGCTATGCTTGAAATCAATTGCAATGCTTAGTGGAGGTTTCCAGTTATGAGAAGGTATTAATCTTGCATTATTATTCTTTTATCGAGTGTGTAATGAATAATTTTATTAAAAAAAACAAGCAATAAAATAATTAATGTTATAATAATGCAATAATAATATGAACTTGACAACAGGAATAGATAGCTACAGGATTGCATTGAAGATGGAGTTTCTTGCAAGGATTCATGTCAAGACTATGGTATTAATTTCACTTGTCATCAATATAGTACATTCCTTCAGCATATCTTTTCAATGCTGTCTTTCATAAATGCTGTAAAGTCATAACAATGACAATAATAATAAAGAAAATTATTGT